ACTGTATTGTCTTCCTTATATTATCTTATTCAAGCACACATTCACCTAACCTCTTTTGCATATAGGTTAGGCGCACAAGAGAATATTAGATTAAGAGAGGAAAGGAAGGTTTAGAGATGTAAAGAAGAAAGAAGAAAAGGGAAGGAAGGAAAGTAAGAACGGAATGGAAGGCTAAGAGAGTGTAAGTATTTCAGAGAGATCTGAGTAAATATTTCATTAAACACCAAAAGTAATATACAAAGAGAAGAAAATGAATAAATTCACTGAAAAAATAAACAAAAATAAACTACATCAGAAAAAAATATTAACAAACATAACAAAACAAAATAAACTACATGTGAAAAGTTAGGTTTAAGAATAACAGAATAAGTGCAAATTGTATCTACCACAATAAATACACAGAGATCAAAAAGATAGGTATACCTCACAGATAATATAACAGGGCGCTCTTGCCTGTCGCAGTTGCTGGACCACTATGATATGGCATTAGATGCTATGGAAGACAAACAAACAGCTGATGTAATTTACACAGATTTCGCAAAAGTTTTTGATAAATGTGACCATGGCGTTATTGCACATAAAATGCGTTCAAAAGGAATTACCGGAAAAATAGGCAGATGGATCTACAATTTCCTGACTAACAGAACCCAATGTGTAATAGTCAACAAAATAAAATCCAGCCCATCAACCATGAAGAGCTCAGTCCCCCAGGGTACTGTGCTTGCTCCAGTACTTTTTCTCATCCTCATATCGGACATAGACAAGAACACAACCTATAGCACTGTATCATCCTTTGCAGATGACACTAGGATCTTCATGAGAGTAGGCAACATAGAGGACACGACAAACCTCCAGTCAGATGTAGATCAGGTCTTTCTATGGGCTACAGAAAATAATATGGTGTTTAACGAAGATAAGTTCCAGCTCATGCGCTATGGAAAAAATGAAAATATAAAAACGGACACCACGTACAAAACTCAGGCAAATCATAACATAGAACGAAAAGTCAATGTAAAGGATCTGGGTGTACTCATGTCGGAAGACCTTACCTTTAAAGAACACAATAAAGTAGCCGTCACTACTGCAAGAAAAATGACAGGTTGGATAACAAGAACTTTTCACACTAGAGATGCTATACCGATGATGATACTTTTCAAAACGCTTGTGCTCTCTAGAGTGGAGTACTGCTGCACAATGACAGCCCCTTTCAAAGCTGGAGAAATTGCTGACCTGGAGAGCGTGCAGAGATCCTTTACTGCTAGAATCCACTCGGTAAAACATCTAAATTACTGGGACCGACTAAAGAGCCTAAAACTGTACTCCCTTGAGCGCAGGCGGGAGAGGTACATAATAATTTACACGTGGAAAATATTAGAGGGGCTGGTCCCAAACCTGCACACAGAAATAACATCACATGAGACCAGAAGACATGGCAGGATGTGCAGAATACCCCCGTTGAAGAGCAGAGGTGCAACTGGTACTCTGAGAGAGAACTATCAACATCAGAGGCCCGAGACTGTTCAACACGCTTCCACTACACATAAGGGGCATAACTGGCCGACCCCTCACAGTGTTCAAGAGAGAACTGGATAAGCACCTCCAAAGGATACCTGATCAGCCAGGCTGTGACTCATACGTCAGGCTGCGAGCAGCCGCGTCCAACAGCCTGGTTGATCAGTCCGGCAACCAGGAGGCCTGGTCGACGACCGGGCCGCGGGGACGCTAAGACCCGGAAGCACCTCAAGGTAACCTCAAGGTAACCTCAAGGTAAGGTAACCTCACAATAATATACCTCACAAATTTGTGAGGTATAATATTCCTCACAAATTATACCCAACACAAAAAACACATAAAGATCTGAAAAAGGTTAAGTAAGGGACAAAAAGAACCATATCAAAAAATAGAAAGAGCCAGTGTTTAGAGAACGGATGTGTACTAAATAATCTTTACATCCACTACTTATAAAAATGTGAGAGACTTGACAAACTTTAGCAAAAATGCAAAAGTACTTAATAACTATCTTACAAAATGTTCTGAAAATGTACAAAATGCATAAACACCTTTTTAAAACCAATATCTTTTGAAAATTTAACAAATGTATATAAAACATAGAATGACGAACATAGCTTATGTTAGGAACCATGTAAGTTTGTAAGTAAGGTTAGGTAAGTTAGGCAAGTTAGGTTATGTAAGTTTTGTTTGGTAGGTAACATCAGGTTATGTTAGTTTCTAAGTTAGGTTAGGTAAGTTAAGTAAAACTGATAATGCATTGTTGTTTGGAGAACAGTTTCAAAGATAAAGTTGGGTAAATATATAATTATATAATATAATACACATAATAAATAATATGATATACATTGACAAGAGACCAAACTTCAGCACCCGCATACAACACATAGCCAAAAGTCTCATAAACTGTCGGCAAACTTTCTAAAATCAGATATTATGTTCCAAACTCTGCTCTCTTCTCATTATACTATGCACTAATCTATCCCTATCTAACATATGTTATATGTGCATGGGGTTCAACCACTGCAAATTACCTCAACCTCACCATCACCCAGCAAAATGCTACTAACAGAACTATAACATACTCTGTCTTCAGGCAACACACAGCCTGTGACGACATCAACGTTTTCTATGGAGTAAGGTGTGGTGATATCGACGCCATCTATGAACCTGCACTCACTCCAAGGCATTAGACGCAGACAATGCCATCTGTTGACAGAGGTGTGGCAAGTTCAACGCCATCTGTGAATGGTTCCTGTTCGTGTGCAGGCGATGAGTCACAATAACGTGGCTGAAGACTGTTGACCAGACCACACACTAAAAGGTGAAGGGACGACGACGTTTCGGTCCGTCCTGGACCATTCTCACAATCGACTTGAGAATGGCCCAGGACGGACCGAAACGTCGTCGTCCCTTCACCTTCTAGTGTGTGGTCTGGTCAATGTTCCTGTTCGTACCACAGTTAGTAGGTGAGGTCGATGATGACGACCTCTGGTGAGTGAAGTAAGGATATCACTGCCATCTAGATTGTGCATCTGATTACATTTCACAGTTCCCGGTGAAAGGTTGGCATCCTAGGTTCTCCCTGTATACTTTCCGTCTGGCTAATGACTTATGTCCACAGAGGTGACGTGGAAAGTCTATTGCACTGTAGCAAGCGGTTCTCCTCGGGCAGTTCTCAACTCCTGACTTGTTCCTGTGAGAGGACAAGTGGCTGCCATCGGTAGTACACAGTGTGTACTGTGCACTGTAGCTGTACAAGTACAGCTGTTGTACTTGTGCAGTGATATTGTGTGGACCGACGTACCTGGGATTGGGCCAAGAGGAGTGACAAGACGATAGTAGTGGTCGTCTGCTGAGAAGTGCTGCTAGCATGTAGACTTCTGCCAGGGTGTTAGTGGTGACCCCTGTCAGTGTGTTTTTGGAGAGCAGATGTAGGGTATTTGGACAGTGACAATACAGTGTGGGACTGGCCCATGTTGAGTAAGGTGAACTCGCCGGTGATGACCATTGAACGTGGACGACGTATACTTGAAGATAGTGGGCTCGCTGGGATTTGAAGAACACTGCAGAGATATTAAGTGTCCTGTGTGAAAGAGACACTGTGTACATGTGTGTTGTAATATGACATGAATAATATATTGGTGAAGGTGTTATTTAGTCTTGATTATCCCCTTTATTCTTTGTACAATTGCTTGCTACCGCCTTCTCTTGATAACTTACCATTGACTTTGAGTGGGATCATAGAAGAGGCTCTAAAGCCCATTATGCAGAAAGAACTCGGTTACTGGCTTTAGCAGGCAATAACACTGCCCCCTCTGTTTAAGTCCTTAAACTTGCTAAACGTACACTCGCTCCGAAGATTGTCATGTGTATTTACATGTACAAAACCTTGTTCGTAAATGTTAGTCCTGATCTTAACTGTTAAATCCTAATCTGAAACTCTTAGTTGATATATGTAATAGAACCTGTGAGCACCACACCAGAAATAAATATCTCTTTGATATCCCCAGTCAGACTAAATCTGTGCAAACACTCCATGCAAATAAAAGGACCCAGTCTATGAAACTCACTCCCTAATGAATAAAAAAATTGTCCGACCCATGCCCTATTCAAAAGTAAAACCAAAAATTACCTAATTTTATCCTCATAGTTTCAAACCCACACTATCTTGTACTGCCCACTTCCCCAATATTAGTACTTAAGATATACATCTTTACCAGTGTAATAATCCCCAATAATTTATATTGTACTTATTATGTTAAACTCAAATTTTGCTACAATATACCTCTTAATAAACTTATCTGTTAGGAGCTGACTGAAAGTCTGTGTGTTAGTGGCTTTGCAAGAATGTAAGAACACCAATGTTATGTACTCTCACAAACCTTTTTGTATATAAATAAATAAATATATAAATTTGTAAATGAGTAAATATATAGTTTGTAAATAAGTTGTTATAAAAGGTTTCCCTAATCTTGTTTCATGATACAGAAAACATAAATTTTGTTGTTAATACATAACAATTTTTGTTTTTCTACCACAGACGTGGCCGCACATTTACAATGCTAGCCAGAACATACATTTTCCTCTGTCCTCCACAGACAGGGTTAGATATCTGTTAAACATATAGTTCAGTACTATATTGAACAATCAACCACGGAAGGTGATTGTATTGCTTTTAAAATGCTAATCTAACCTACATAAATCCTTATTTTAAGTGTAACAAATAAAATAATTACTCTATTTTTTTCTTGTGTAATATATTTTATTTGTTTGAATGGTTTTACCTTGAATATAATACAAAATATTGGTTTTCTTTTTATACCATAATTTTATATTTGAATGAGTGCATTGTGATGAATATATCAAAACAAGATTTTCTACATCCATGTTACATTGTTGCAGGACTGTCAACTTGTGTCAATTATTTTGTTAAGCGATTAATTTACTATTTGTTTCATCACTTCATTAATTCTTGTCTTTTGTTTCAGTTGACTCATCAGAAGATTTTGAGTGGATTCATCAGAAGCAAACATCAAGTGTCGTATTATCTAATACATCACATCTAATACAAGCATCCTAAGCCCTGGCAACTACATTTTATATAAAAGTCCATTGCCAATCAACCATGGCTGAAATATATAATGGTTTGAGACTTATCATGGCTATTAAAAGCTGTGGACAGCGTGTCTTATATCAGACATTCCTTCTGGGAACTCCAGACAAACCTAAAGATAAGAACCTGGCAGATTACTTAGAGAACTTGCCGCTAACATCAACCGCAAACTACATAAAAGCCTCGAAACGAGAAAAACGTTTTTACAATGAGGAAAAAGAGTTGATTAACACCAATCCAGACGGATCCAAGTTTGATATAACACTGCTCTACAAGATTATCAGATTAGCTTGTGAGAAGGTGGCCCCATTAAAAAATGAAAACGGAAAATGGGGCTCCGAAAGTACAGAAATGGAGTATTACGTCACTGCTATAAAAGATATGAGAAACGATGTTATTCACAGCCAACTTGCCGTAACTAAAACTGAGCTATCGGAAAAGATGTTGAAACTTAGAAAGTATTTAGTTGGGTGTGTGAAGACGTCTGGAGAGCGGTATGGGCGGGACGAGGCTGTGGTAAACAATGAGATCAAGCAGGTGATGGATGATCTGGACCAAATACAACAAACAATTCTTGGTAAGGAAGATATAATGAAGTATTACAGTGACGAACTTAAGCAGCTTATGATTGAGAAGTGCAGCGAGACACTGAAGATGATCTTCCAAAGAATTGTCAATATTAACCCAGTGTCTTTCTTCACAGATGACCTGCGCCTTGAGGTAGACAAAATTTTTGTTGATGTCGCAGTCAAGCAAGGAAAACGTAGAGGTGAAAGTAAAGCTATAGACTATCGAGACCTCCTCAAATTTCTTCAGAACCCAAATGAACCTCTATCTATGAGTGATGTCTCCCAGCAACAGAGTTCAGCTGCACGGAGTCAAATACTTCTGCTTGAAGGTGTGGCCGGCAGCGGCAAGACCACTCTGGTGACAATGGTAATACAGAATTGGATAAAGGGAGGTAAAGGCAAAATAAGAGGCCTAAATAATTATGACCTTGTGCTATGGGTACAGTGCAGGGACCCAACCATAGACTCCTACCAAGCCCTCCTGGACCGCCTCATGCTAAAAGTATCATTACAATTTAGGAACCTTATGCCAAGACTGACGAAGCTTTGTAAGCTGCTAATCGTAGTTGATGGCCTGGATGAAATTAATGAGAACTCGAAAAAACTTGTAAACAGTTTGTTACACGAATTCAAGAACTGTACCCACACTACATTTATGTGCACGTCACGTCCAGAAAAACTTGAAATGTTTAGTAACACGATTCCCCGGGAATATAAAGTGACAATTGCTGAGCTACGAGGCATACCTAAGGACCGAATTCTTGAATTTGTGCGTCGAAATCACGTGGCGATAAAGCACCAGACAAGGAGTGAACGAAACACTGAGGAACTGGTAAAGGCAGTGGAGAAGTTGAAAGATCTTCATGAACACTTATCGCTGCCGATGAACTTGATATTGTTAGTGATCATTTGGGACAGGGAGACAGATTCGTTACCCCGTGGGACCTTCACTCAGACGGAGCTATATCATAAAATTCATCATCTGTGGCAGAGTAAGGTGTTGGAGAGACTGGCCAACCATCAACGGTACAGCAGCATTTCTAAAGACGACCTAGAGGACAGAATCCAAGTTATTTTAAAGGAGATATACCGGTCAGCGCTCGAGAGCCTCTCTTGCAACCAGTTAATCCTTGAGGAGGAAATTGTTCACCATTTAAAATTAGCTTGTAAAAAGGTAGATTTACCTCCCGACGAAATTCTGTCGGCATTCCTGACCTTGAAATCTACTTGGACCGGGAAAGGCTTCCAGGAGCGGTATTCTGCACCCCACAAGGGAATCCAAGACTTCTACAGTGCTCTACATATTGTGACGACCCTTACGTGCCAGCTACAGTCTCTTTCCCTCCCAGTCTCACACAACGAGCCCCCAACACCACTTGTGTCTCCCCTGGCACATGCTGCACTAGTCCCAAGTTCATCTACACAAGACTCTCCTGGTATTATCAGGGAAGTGTTAACACAGGCCATCAAAACAAGAAAGGTGGATATGGCTGAGTATCAGAATGTTCTAGTGCATGTAGCCGGGATGTTGCACCTGACTCTGGACCCAGTGCCCGAGGCCCTGGCCTACGAAGTTGTTGACCTTCTGCGCCAGTCTGGGATGAGGGAGGAGTACCAGTGGCTCGACCTCCTCGAGAACACCACGGCCACTTCCGTCACAGCTAAGGCCGTGACTCCTTCCATTAATAATACTAATGACACTATAGAAATAAGTAATAACCGTGTAGGGAGCTACGCAGCTCTCCTACCACACCTCAAACCCTCCAATGTTTCCATTTGTATAGAGGATGACCCTGCCGACATACC